CAGTTTCTTTGCCTTAGAGGATGGGACACAGCACTGAGTCTGGGGAGGGAAGGGGAGAGGAGAGGGGAGAGGGGAGAGGAGAGAGGAGAGAGGGGAAGGATGGGAGGGAGAGGGGGTGGAGGGGAGAGGTAGGGGAGAGTAGAGAGGGGAGGTGGAGGGATGAGAGGGGGGAGAGGGAGGGGAGAGGGGAGAGGGGAGGAGTGCAGAGGGAGAGAATGGTGAAAAGTCCTGGCCCCTCTGCGGGCTTCCCGCCTGAGCCAGCGCTGAGCGGGGACAGGGCTGAGCTCTGAATGGGTGGAGAGGCACAGTTTAGCAGGAACGGGTCTGGATTGCTCTGAATGCCTGGCCGTCGTCCCTGGGAATGAGCACAGAGCTGTGGGGCCCCCCAGGATAACCCAGGGTAGGGTGGGAGATTTGACGTGCATCACAGGAAAGAGAGTGCTGGTTAAAAGAGAAAATAGTTCTTTGCCTCCCCCTTGCAGAGTCCAATTCATTCACCAAATCAGTAACAGGTACAAGCAAAGTGTTCAGACACAGTATCTGGGTCAGCAGGTTTCCCTGCTCAGGTAAAACAACCGATATTATGTGTATGTTTCATACAAATTGCTTTCACATGTATTACCTTTGCTTCCAAAGTTTCCACCTGACAAAGCACAGCACTTTCTGTCTAGTTCTCATCCGTGGATGTTGGTCTCTCAACTGTTTCCACAGCCATAATGTTACATTTAAAGCTACAAAACCTGTGTACATGGGACATGTAGTTCGTCCTGAGATCGAGAAGAACAAGAACACTGCTCAGAGTCCGTGCCGCTAAGCCGTCACTGTCCCAGAAAATGCAGTGCCGGTGACAACTGTGCACTTGGAGTAGGTCTGACCAAAGAAACATGGTTTTGGGTTTGCAGCCAAGCTATTCCCATAACTAAAGATTTGTCCTTAGGGAAAAGCACGTATTTGATTGGGTGGTCAGATAATGTTATCACAATGTTGACACCAACTAGTCCCTCAAAACAAAATCCCGAGAGCCTTTACTTCTCGACTGTGTTTTTGCAAGGAAACATTTATTTAACTATCTATATGTAGTGTGTTTATAAAGTTTTAAACTGAAAACACCCACATATTCACCACCCAGCGTAAGAAATAGAGGCTGTGCTTCTAAAGCCCTGGGTGCCCCAGCACAGCCCCCTCTCCCCGGTGCCAACCACTCTTTTAAATGTTACGTCTGGCATGTCTCTGATTTCCCTCAGACGTGTGCCTCTCTAAGCAATAAAGCACGTTAAATTATGAACGGGTTCCAACTCCATGTCAACGATGTCATACGCTGGCTCTCTCTGCATCTTGCGTTGTCTGCTTAACTTCATTCTACGTTCATCTCCAGAGCGTGTGGCTGTAGCTGACTTATTTTCACCAACATACATTCTTTTGTGTAGAATTCTGTTTTTTGTCTATACCACATTTTATTCTCCTGTTATTTGCTATTACAAAGCACTGTGCTGTGAGCATTCCTGTACATGAAATCTTTGGCACCTGCGTAGGGGTTGCTTGGGATATAACTAGGAGAAAAATGGCTTTATAAGATAATGCTCTATTTCAGGCATCAGCACAGAGGACCAGTTTCATTGCTGAGTATCCTGGTGAATCTTCCTAGGGGGAAAACTGTGCATCATCATCTTGGTTTTAGTTCCCGTTTCCTGATCATTAGTGATGTTAAGCATCTTTGCGTGTGTTTTTCAGCCACTGATGGGTCTCTTTCTATGAAGTGCTTGTTGATGGGTCTTGTCCATTTTTCTCCTGTATTTCTGCTTCTCTCCTGACTGGTTTTCAGGAGTTCTTTCTAAACGCTGGACTAACCCTCACCTAGCCCTGTGCACCAGCAAAAGCTTACCTTTCCCCTGTTCACAGTGTCCTTTCAGCAGAGAGGTTTCATATTTTAATTTGGTGACATTTATCAGTTGTTTTGGGTTTTGTTTAAATAATTCTTATATTATTATGAGAATATTGTGCTATATCTTCTTCCAAATGTTTAATGTTTTTGCTTCATACATGTAATCCTTGATGCGCATGGCACTGATTTTCCTAAGTGCAGTGACACTCAGATCTGATTCCACCCCACCTTATCCAGAGTCTTACGAATCCACACTCTTTATTGATTCGTACTTCTCTGCTCCAGTAATCTGCAATGCCATCATCATTTTTCAAGTTTCTAGACATGGGTGAGTTTGTTTCTGGTGTCTACTATGAGCCACTGATCTATTTTTTTTTTTTTTAATCTCTGAGCTGACTTCACACCCCTTTCCTCATCACTTTAGTAAATCTTCATATTTGGCAAGTTCTCTCACTTTGTTCTCTAGAGTTTCTTGTTCTGAGAAAAGACACGGCATAATTTGCTACTTTATTAAAACTGCTGCAATTAACCTGGCAAGTTCCTTGAAGAATCCCCTGTGTCATAGATTTCAACATTGACATTCCTGATGGAATGATTCTAATTTGAAGTGATCAAGATTAGCACTGAGAGTCCTAAGCCACATTGCCTCTTGATAGGATGTGTTCGCTCTGATCTGTCAACATCCAGTATTGCCCTGTTCCCAACCATTCTCTACCTGCAGCCTGAAGAACCTTTGAAAATGTAAATATAATTCTGTCTTTTGAAAACTTACAATGGTTTCCTATGGCCTTTAGAAATAAGTCCAAAATCCTTAGTATGCCCCTCCAGGCCCTCCATGATCTGACCTTAGCTTCCCTTTCCAATCTTCTCTCTCCCTCACCCCTTTCCTCTGGCTACACTTTGCGATGTCATTGGCGTCACACTCTCCCACCCCTGCTTAGAGCTGAGTCATGCCTGGCGTCCCAAAGTTCCCTTTGGGATGGTTGAAAGACTGTTGATCCTTCAAACATCTCCCATCTTTCCTCTGTCCTCCTCTCTGCTCTCACACACATTTTTTTTTGGCAATACCATGAAACGATACAACCTTGCCCACTATCAGGAGTTTTAAGGGTCTCATTCAGTGTGGAAGCTGAAGATTATAAGCAACAGAATACTGATGAAATATGGCTTTAATAACAGAGATTTGTTTTTCTCTCAAAATAACAAATCCACAGGAAGGTGGATCCAGGATTGAATTCAGCTGCTCAATGATGTAGGGCAAGTTTCTTTCTTTTCACTCTTCCCTCATGGTCACAAGGTGGCTGCCAGCAACAAGCAGGTGGCAACAGTTCCCAGCACCAAAGAGAGGAAAAAAAGTCTTCTCTTTATTCTTGTGCTTTTTATCAGGGAGTAAAATATTGTCTCAGAAATCAACTATGAGACTCTCTTTCATGAGACCTTGGCCAGAACCGTCTCAACTGCAAGGGACATGGGGCAGATTAGTGTCAAACTGCTACCGCAGGACGCTGCTTCTGCCCACGAGGGGACTGGCCCTGGAAAGTGCTGATCATGGTCTTCCTGCTTATACTATGAACACTAATGGTCCTGATATTTCTTCTGTATGGATTGGTGGAGGAAAGGTATCCTGAAATTCTATTTCAAATCTACTTGCTAGTATCTTGAACTACTCTGCCTAATATGATCAAATCTAACCTTTTGAAATTAAATTTACAAAACTTAAAATGCAGTTAGAGTGGACCTTTAGGTTTCTTTATTTAGATACCGGAGGAGTTTTGGCTTAGTTTATAGACCAGCTGGTTTCATTCCAAGCAAATGTGAAATGAAAGAAAAGACATGTGTCTTCCCTCAGAGCAAGAGTGTTAACCTGCGGGGGACCACCTCTGGCGGGCTCGGCCGCATCTGCACGGGTCCCCTCACACAGCGCGCCTTCTTTCCAGACACTCACCTACAGACTGCACTGCAATCATGTTTTGTTTTGCTTACACTGTTTGACGTGTTGGGTTTAATTTAGTGACAGGTTGTTCCAGTCGTGGCCGTGAACGGTGGCCTCCGGCAGGACGAGGGATGCTGCCTCGCTTCCGTGCCGCCCTGTTCCAGCGGAGCCACCGCCGCTGCCCGGGCTGATTTGACGGGCATGTGACATTCTGGGCTCGATGAGGAGGAAGGAGGATTGCTGCTTACTGGAGGTAGTTCTTTGCAATTATTGCAGTTGCAACCAAAGCAATGCTCTGTCTATCCCTAGTGATTTTAAATATTGTTAATAGCTACTCTAGTGGTTACCGCGACTCAAATAGCAAATGAAACCCCGAGGGCAGTAGAATGTAGCCCAGTAAGTAATTTTTGCTTTTAATGAGACCATTTCAAAATATAACACGGCACTCAGGAATGCTTAGAAAGATATTATTGATAATGGTGAGCTTATTGAACTTTGAAGACTCTTAAAGTGTAATATATAAAAAGATTTAGTCTTAATATGTCTTATAGTGAATATATGGTCCTTGTACAAACACCAGAAACTATGCTCAGCAAAAAGAGAAGAAACGGTCACATCCAGGAGCCCATTTGCTAGAGTTCACTAGTGTTAACATTTTGGTGAATACGTTTCCAAATTTTATTTCTTCATTTTATTTGTTTATATGTGTTTAATTATCAGAGAAATTAAATCTGTTTTAGAAGGTGTTAAAGGCGTACTGCAGAGTGAGCACGCTTCCACCTCCAGTGTCTACATGTGTACACTGGAGGATGTGCGTGTACTGAGTAGGTATTGTTCACACATTTTTAAAAAATATTTATTGACCTTTATTGATTTGAAAGAGAGAGAGAAGTGAGAAGGAGAGAGAGATAGATACATCGATGAGAGAGAACATCAATTGGCCACCTCCTGCATGCCCCCCACAACCTGGGCATGTGTCCTGACCGGGAATCAAACCAGTGACCTCTTGGTGCATCGGTCGACGCTCAACCACTGAGCCACACTGGCCAGACTGTCCACATATTTTTAATCAACTTTATTTCTGTTTGTTCCAGAGTATATAATTTAATGGAATATACTTTATATAAACAGCTTGGTATTGTTGGACATTATAGTTTTTTGCTATTATAAATATATTCCTCTTCTTTATTTAGGATAATTGCTCAGGACTCTTAAGACAGTGAGACTTAAGGCTTTGAGTGCAGAAAGCAGCCGCCTCAATAACGGCTTCAGGTACTGCCTCAGGCCAGGCCAGGCCGGGGCGGGGCCTCTCGCTGGATCCTGCGCGCGCCCCCGGGCAGGCCCTTCCTTGGACTCCGGAGCAAGCTGAGGCTCTGGGGGTGGCTCTGGAGCAGGTGAAGAGACAGGTTCAGGCACATGCGTGGCTTTCCCGCGCCCTCCCCAAGAAAGAAAGATGCCACTACCCCCAGGGGAACTGTGGCCCCTGAGCCCACCCACCCCGACCGACTGTCTTCCCAGACTGCAGCCCCTCACCTTCCAGCTCTGCCTCCGTGGGCTCCAGATGCTCCAGCTCCACCCAGAGAAGGTGGGTATAGCCCACCTGGTATGAGGCAGGGAAGTTGATCTGCACGAAGGCCTGCTTCACCTTGCACCCGGGGAAGCGTCGTGGCTGGCCGAAACCCTGCACCTGGTCAGGCCAGATTCCCACCATAGAAGCAATGGCCCTGCGGGGAGGCAGGAGGGCAACGGAGTCAGAGTCCTGGTCCTTCCTCCCGCACGGCCCTCCCATGGCACCCTGCTTCAGACGGGGCCCGTATGCCTGCCCGGCCCATCCAGAGGTCAGCTCCATGCCATCCCTGGCCCCTGGGGCTGTCCTGGGAGTTGCAGGCCTGGTGACCCAGCAGGCTAACATGGAGTCTGTGTGAGTCTCCTCTTCCCCCCGAGAGCTGTCCTGGAGGCCTGTGCACTGCCCACCCAGCCCTCTGAGCACTGGGCACCTGGACTGAGGACTGAGACAGGGTGTGAGCAGCCTGCTCCCCACGTCCTGTTCTGGGCCTGGCGATGGTGGTCAGGGGAGTGGGTGAGAGAAAGCAGGCAGAGCAGGACGGTCTGTGGTGGGGATGGGACTCCTGGGGACAGCTCAGCCCAGCCTCCCCTCTGGTTATATGAGGCCAGGAAGCCCACCCACAGTGCTCTTTGACCCTGTCCTCCTGGAGTGGAAGCCACCAGACCTCAGCCCTCCCTTGGGAATCAGCAGACGTGTAAGATCAGGGTTCTGCCAGCCCCTGTCCACCCGCAGCCCCTCATTCTGTTGACACAGGAGGCCTCCTTCTGGACCCAAAGACCACTCACTTTTTCAATTGGTCCTGGGGTGTGTCACCCTGGTCGTTATATGGCTGCATATTTCCAGATGTAGAGAACACCTGGATGGCATCAGATCTGATGGAACGTGGGCAGCACCTGCAGATGACATCTAGTGTGACAGCCTGACTCGCTGACTGGAACTGAGGCCCAGGCACTGTGTCTGCTTTGTTCCCTGAGTCAGGCTAAGTGTCTCCAAAGTGCCTGCTGGCAGTAGGAGCTCCATGCACATTGTCTAGTCAATGAACTCCAACCAGAACCATCCGGACCTCTTAGTGGGCCTGGGGATGCTGTCTCCAGACATCCCTAATCTTGCTACACCAAGGACAAGGACAAAGACCAGCCAGGTAAAATCTCAAACTGCTTGACAGACATTTTCCCATGTACTTTTCCAAACTCAGATGCCACAGGCCGCCGCTGGATGTGTCAGGGGACTTCTCATGGGGAGAGAAGTCATTGCCAAGAACAACCGCACACATCCAGCAGCCCTTTCTGCAAAGCCAGGCAGCAGGTCAGACCTGCCATGGCTTGTCTCCACAGTGGTCCCTGCAAGAATCCCACGAGGTTTATCCTCTATCACCCACTTTTCAGAGGAGCAAACCGGGGCTCAGCGAGATGTGGTGACATTTTCAGGACACAGGGCTAGCAGTGGGCAGAGTCACCACTAGGGGGCGTGTGCTCACCTAGTAAACAGCTGGTCCAGGAACAGCTGGGCTCTGGAGAAGGCCGGGTGGATGAACGTGAAGGTGGAAATGTGGGGAATTTTTCCACTTGGGAAAGCTGGTACCATGGACACCACCATCTTCTCCAGTGTGCCTTCCTGGAGGGCACGCATCCTGCAGGCCTCACGGAGGTTAAGAGTTAACTCGGCTGCACACTGGGTGGGACAAGGAGGGACATCCAGTCAGCGGCATCACCATGAACCCAGGAGGATGGAGGTCTGCAGCTCACCCTGGACCTGCCAGACCTCAGGACATGTGAGAGAGGAGGGACAGGGGTGCCCATGCCCAGTGAGGTTCTAGGTTTTAAAAGGACCATTTAAGTTTTGTGAGTGGGGGATTTTTATACAATTATGACCTGGGCATGTTTTCAGCTGAGGAACATCAGACCTTCTGTATTAATAGTCTGTGTGAAGGACATTGTCCCCATGAGTCCTCAGCAGACATCCCCGCTACAGAGATGAGAACCCAGACGCTTAGGATGTCAGATGGCTGCTCAAGGTCATACAGGTCAGGACTAAGAACCATCCTGCATGACGTTCCCTCTCAGCTGCCTGAGACTCATCTGTCCTGACATGGAGGGAGAGGGTCTGGGAACCTTGTTGCTCCCCAGTTTAGAGAGAGTGTACAGGATACACACACCTAGGAAAACCACTGACTTCAAAAAAGACACTTATTTCTCATCCTTTTACTTTAATGGGTGTTTTGAGACCCTCATATGGAGATCCAGATTCCACAAAGGGGCCAATGCCTGGAGACTCCAGGCTGAAGAAAGTCAATCACCAGACAGAAATCTGAGCAGATGACACCCACAGGAAGGAGCCAGTCCACATGGTTGGTGAAAAGCTGACGGTGAGTCCAGGTACCCCAGAGGCAATCGCCAATCAAGGAACACTGATTGCCTTGGGCAGCTTGACGTCAGATTGGTAAACATTTCGATGAGTGAGAAATCCCCGGGGCCGGGCTGGAGCAAGGCAGCAGCCACCACCAGAAAGTGCTGTTGGCGACCTCACTGCCACAGCCTCTGGATGTGGATCCGCCTGCAGCTGTGAGGACAGACATGTGCACGTCCTGCCAAGAGCAGTCCCGTCCCTGGGCAGGTATCCCCACCTGGGGACAGTGTATGTTGGGGCTGAATTGTGTCGCTCAAACTCCATGACTTTGTAACCCTCAGAACTTCAGAACATGCCTGTATTTGGGCTCATGGTCTTTAAGGAAGTAATTAAGTTCCGGCGGCACTGAGAGGGGCATCGCTGTGGCAGACGCCCTCCGTGTTGGAGGAGGTCTGCAAGGACAGTGGAGCTGCCTGCACAGGACCCCTGGGCCTGCAGTGCACCAACAAAACAGCAACATGCAAATGTGCTCCTGGTCTGCTGGGAGGGAAACAACTATTTTCTCTATTATTCCTGCAAGTACGTAAGGAGTGGCTTTCTACCCTCCCTGTGGCTGAGGGAGGGTGTGGAGGTCCAGGTTCCTTGGTGCACGGGACTGTGGACACTCCGGTGGGAAGCCCTGGAGGTCCCCCAGGTGTCCCCAGATTTGAGTCTGGGTCTTGACCCTCTCTGACATCTTGGGGGTTTGGGTGTGGAGACTGCCCTGGGCCAGCTCTCACCTCAGACTCGCACTGGCCGGCGTCGTTGGCCCGGTGCACCTGCACCCTGACCCGGTAGGTGGTGTAGTCGGGCCCGCGGGCCAGCACCTCAAGGATGTCCTCGCTGGAGCTCTGCAAAGACCAAGCCGGGTACTGAGGCAGGAGGATCGGGAAGCTTCCCCCCACCTGTGGTCCTGGGAAGTGGCAGACCTAGCAAACTGACACAGTCTGTGAGGACACAGCGAGGCTGATCCCAGCAGCCCGCTGAACTAGCGGCACAACCGCATCATGTCAAGGTCAGCAGCACTGAAAGGCTCAGTCACTGAGGAAAACGACATCCTTCCTGGGCTGATATGGAGATGAACAAGGCCACACTCCGGACCTGGCCCGCCTCCTACTTGCTCTGTCAGACAAGTTGCAGAGAAATGTACCTAATACCTTAATCACTCCCTGTTTGTTTGTTTTTTGTTTTTGGTAAAAAATACCCTATCAGGTGTGATGATATATAAGGCTTAGAGGTCTGCAAAGACAGTCCAGCTGACTACCCCACAGGATACCTGGTGTAGGTAGTTCAACAATCAAAACATGAAAAATGCAAGGAAAGCAAGACTTTTTTCTCTGCGGTTCCAACAAATACATGAAGGCTGAATTTCTACCCCACCAGGAACCTGTTCAGGAGAGTTGGAGGGACAGATTTCTTCAGGAGTGGGCCTGTGAAAACTTTTGATACCGTTGTAATTAACCAAGTTATTCATAGCAGGAAAGGAGGAAAGGGAAGGCCAAATATTATAGGCATGGATTTGGGCAGCCTTGCCAGGAAACTACAGCTTTACACTCCCCAGGAGCTGGTCTGTTCCCCACAGATCATTGGGAGAAGACACATGCCCAGTAAAGTTGCGGGGACCAGCAAAGGTACTTGCCTGTCAGTCAGGGAACACATTGCTGACCAGATTGGGGAGCATGAAGATTTGGGATACTCAATTCCCTGAACAAAGAAATTTGTTCTCTAGGTTTCTTTTCTCTTTGTTGACTCCTGGCTAGTGGGGCTCTCTCTCCTGCTGTCTTGCATTCTCCTGTGTGGCCCATGGCCGTGCAGACCCCTCCACACAACGGACTAATGGACGGCAACTAGCCTGATGCTGAACTGGACCGGGTGGCAACATGGGACAGAAACTCTGGACACTGGCTCGGATTTTAGCTCTACTGAATCCGTAGCTACACTTCTTCCAGGACTAGACGAAGGGAGACCCAGGGAAGTAATTCCATGCAAATAAAAATCATTCATTCTCCCGCCCGAGTCGTAGAAAATTCTTTTTCTCGAGGTACGGTAAAGACTCCAGCCCCAGCAGTCCCTGGGGAGAGGAATACCTCAACTTCCCCAGTAACACTTTGAGGCCCCAGAGCTGAGTCTGGGTTCGTGTCCCACTCCAGTCAGCGTGGGTTTCTGGGTGCGGGTCAGCTCTCACCTCAGCCCGGCGCGAGACGGGCTTCCTGGCCTGGCGCCCTTGTCCCTTGTACCGGTTGGTGGCGTAAGTGAACCCGTCGGCCAACTCTTCTACGGTGTCCTCAGAGCTCTGCAAAGACAAAGCCTGCCACCAGGCCAGGAGGTGTCAGTGGACATCGCCACGGAGGGAGATGCCCACCACAAATTCTGCCTCTCAGATTAGGCACAGAGGGGCTTCTGCAAAGACCTCCAGCCAGAGAAGGAACAAGATGATACTTTGAGGACTCCCAATTAAAAAATGGGTAGATGAGTTTGGTCCCCAGCACTTGCCTTCCCTTCCTGCCAGCCAGGACCTGGGGTATGAACATGACAGACCCGCCAGGCTTCCGACACCTAACAACCTGCTCCTGCCCAGGACCAGCGCCCCTCATCCCACGCTCTCCCGCACCACCCCCGACAACCATACATACCCAGGAGGAGGGGTAAGAGGTGTGGGGCTGCCGGGGTGGGACCCCAGTAGGGACCTGGCCTGGATGGGCCTGTCCTGGGCTGCCCTCGGTTACCTGACGCTGCCTCATGCCAGAGGACGAGGACTGTCGGCGGTGGCGCCTGCGCCAGTTTCTACAGCAAGAGAAACATCCCTCACTCCGGGTTTTCTTTAGCCCAGAGCCTCGGGAGCTCGGGAAGCAACAGAGAAACATCCTAGTCTCCTGACTGTCTCCAGTCAACTGAACTGATGGGAGGTTGTCTCTAGAATGAAGGTGCCTGGTTACCACTTCTAATTTCAGTTGGGGATCTGTCACCAAGGAAGTGAGGTCACTCCTTCAAGGTTCCATGACCCGGGCCCCTTCCTCCAATCAGAGCCACTTAGAGCCCCCTCTGGGCTGTTGGCCGCTCGGCCTTCTCCCCGAGGTCATCTCCACACCTGTCCACCATAACCTACCACAGCCTCCCCACAGCTCCTGGGACTGTCCCAGGTCCCCGGCTTGGAGAACACTGAGTTCACACCTCCCTTTTCTTATCAGTTCTGTGCCCTGGGGAAGCCTTTGCTTCTCTAGGAGCCTCCCCAGTCTCCCCACCTGCACAGTGAGGTGATGCTAGACCCCATTTCCTAAGGACGTCATCAGGTGTGGAGGACATAAGCCTCTAACACCTGTGGGCAGGCGTCCCATGAATCTGATGCACAAACGTAGAGGTGGAAGGGTGACAAGAATGAGTGGGACGTAGTATGAAACAGCACTCAAAGCAGGCCGAAGTCCATCTCAGGGAAGTCACTGCCCACCTTTGTCTCATTTTCAGGTCTGCACCTTTAAGAGGTTGAAATAACAGAAAATTCCTATATTGTCATTCACTGGACTAAAACCTTCCAGTGGTCTCTTGTTAGACTTAGACTGAGACCAAGTGCCTCATGTGGGCCATGTGGTGGAGCCTTCACAGAGGCTCTAGTGATCCGCCTCCTGGTGGGAACACCCTTGTGTGTCCGCCTAGAGCCTAGTAACTGCTTCTGAACAGCTGAGAATCAGCCCAGGTGAGGGATGTCAGGGCTGTCACTTCTCTCGTCCTCTCATTCTTGAGTCCCCTCCTTTCTCAGCCTCTATTTCATTTTCTGTGCGTGTGTCTGACTCTGTCTCTGTCATATCTCTGGACCGGGCAGAGCTGCGCCCATGCTCTGCGCCGCCCTATGTCGATGCCCCATAGGAGCGAGCTGAGGGGGTGCCCAGCCAACAGGCAGGAACGCGGGCTCTCAGGCCCAACTGCGTCCTGACGGAAACCAGGCGAGTGACCTCGAGGGGAAACCTGTCCATCGAGCCTCAGCTGAAACACATCTCCTGCTTCATGGAGACCTTGAGGCAGAGGCACCAGCCAAACCTGCCCAGATGCTTGGTCCGCAGAAGTTGTGTGATGTTCATATCTGTGCTTTACTGGCACAAGGTTTGAAAGCAATGTTGTTTGTGCCTCAATTGTACAATAGAAAGGGACGAAGGGGCTTAAAACAAAGTATTGCAGGTTAAAGTTGGAATCGGGAAGAACCTGACGCAGAGTGCGAATCAAGCGCACTGAGCTGCCTCCGTAAGAGGACAGCGGGATCCCTCTCGTACCACTTCCTTCCGCAGGCCGCCTGCGCTCGGTCCGACGTCCAATTCCAGTTCGCTGAGGCTCTGTTTTTCTTGAGGGAAGTGGGTTATTGAGATTTGAAAAGGAAACACTTCAGTAGTGGAATGACAATGCTGTGCGATGGGACAAACCTGGATTCAATGAGTAAAGCTTCCAAGTTCTTATGCTTTTAGACTTCTTGTGTGTTCGATGCTGTGAGTTGCCCCAACACTGGAAATGATTTTGCAAACACCTTATAAGACAGAAAGGTGGGCCAGCCAGGCTAGCCAGGAGTTTGAAATGGAGAAGATGCTGTTTTATGTGCTGTGGGTTCATGTCCCTCAAGTGTCCCCAAGACCTAAGGTCCCAGAAGGCAGGGTTTGCTCCGATGTATATAAAACATTAGGGTGACCAGTTGTCTCACTTTGCCTGAATGTCTGCTTTGAAAACTAAAAGTCCTGTTTTGGAAAATCCCAGCTTTGGGAAAACAGGTTGTTGATTGCCCTATGTCACATATAGATCCTAGCCTCTGTGCTTGGATTGTAAAACTGAATAAATTCAGAGAATATGGCTATGTGATGGTTTATTAATGGTACCTGTTGTCAATCCCATACCATGTAAATGGATTGATAATGACCGCCATCTCCCCACCCCCCAACCTTTCCTCTGTCCTCTGACCTTTTAGTTCTTTTCTTCCAACTCTATAAATATCAAGTGTGATTTTAGGTGTTTGAGAAGCAGCTTGCTTGCCAGTCTCTACTCAGCAGTAGTTAAAAAACACACATCTTGCCCTGGCCAGTTTGGCTCAGCGGTTAGTGTCGGCCTGCGGTCCAGAGAGACCCGGGTTCAGTTTCCGCTAAGGGCACGTACCTTGCAGTTTGTCCCCGGCTCTGGTTGGGTCGTGCGGGTGGCAGCCACTCGATGTGTCCCTTTCATGTCAATGTTTCTCTCTCTCTCTCTCTTCCTCCCACTCTATCTGAACAAAAAAAATGGAAAAAAGTCCTCGGGTGAGGATTGAAACACACACACACACACACACACACACACACACACACACACGTCTTTGCTTGATTGAGTCTTTTGGGTAGTTTCTGAACACATGAGATTTCGAGAACTGGAGGCTGGGAAGGGCAGCTGTAAGGCCCTCTGCGGGCCAGGCAGAGAGGCAGGTGAAGGCACCTGCCCAGGGCAGCCGAGTGGTTGCAGGGACCCTGTGCAGGCTGATGGAGACATGGCAGGGGCCCCCTGCAGGCCGAAGGAGAGATGGCAGGGGCCCCCTGCAGGCCGAAGGAGGGATGGCAGGGGCCCCCTGCAGGCCGAAGGAGAGATGGCAGGGGCCCCCTGCAGGCCGAAGGAGAGATGGCAGGGGGCCCCTGCAGGCCGAAGGAGAGGCAGCATGGGCTTTGCGCAGGCCTGGCAGCGAAGCAGCATAGGGCCCTTTGCCAGCTTTGCCGAGAGGCAGTTGAGCTTGGTGCCATCTGGCAGAGAGGCAAACCTGGGCCCTGTGCAGCCAGGTGTAGACGCAGCATGGTGTCCTGTGCAGGCCTGGCAGAGAAGCAGTTGTAGGTCCCTGGCAGACCTGGCAAAAAGGAAGTTGTAGGATTGTGTGTGGTCTGGCTGCGTGGGGCTGACTGCAGGCCCGGCAGAGAGGCAGCGTGGAGTTTTGTGGAGGTCTGGCAAGAGTTAGCATGGGAAATTGTGCTGGCCTTGCAGAGAGGCTGTTTTAGGGCCCTGCAGTCCGGCAGAGAGGCAGCATGTGGTTCTCTGCGTGCCTGGAAGTTGCAGGGCCCCGTGCTGTCATGCTGAGGAGCATCACTGGGCCCTGTGCAGTCTGGCAGAGAGCTGTGCTAGAACCCTGTGCAGTATGGTGGAGAAGCAGTGAGAGGCCTGTGCACTCTCTAGAGGCAGCTGGGGAGCATGTGGGCCTCTGTAGACCTGGTTGAGGGGCAGTTGTAGGGTTTGTGCAGACTAGCAGAGAATCAGCGTGGGGTCTCGTGCAAGCCTGGCAGAGAGGTAGCAAGGGCATCTCTGTAGGCCTGGCTGAGAGGCGGTTGTAGGGCATTGCGCAGTGTAGCAGAGAGGCAGCATGGGGTCCTGTGCGTGCCTGACAGATAAGAAGTTGTAGGCCCTTTGCATTCAGTCCGAGAGGCATCACTGGGCTCTGTTCATGTATGGCAGAAAGGGCCCTGTGTGTCCTGGCAGAGAGACAACATGGCATCCTGTGCAAGACTGGTGGGGAGGCTTTTGTAGGGTCCTGTGCAGTATAGCAGAAAGGCAGTTGTTGGGTTCTGTGTCATCCGGCAGAGAGGCGGCACAGGTCCACATGCAGTCCTGGTAGACAGGAAGCATGGGGCCCTCTATAGGCCTGGTCGAGAGGCAGCTGTGAGGTTTTGTGCCATATAGCAGAGAAGCAATGTGGGGCCCTGTGCTGCTGGCTGAGCGACATCACGGGTCCTGTGCAAGCCTGGCAGAGCTGCGGCATGGGGCCCTGTGCTGGCTGGCTGAGCGACATCACGGGTCCTGTGCAAGCCTGGCAGAGCTGCAGCATGGGGCCCTATGCTGGCTGGCTGAGCGACATCACGGGTCCCGTGCAAGCCTGGCAGAGCTGCAGCATGGAGCCCTGTGCTGAGCGACATCACGGGTCCTGTGCAAGCCTGGCAGAGCTGCAGCATGGGGCCCTGTGCTGCTGGCTGAGCGACATCACGGGTCCCGTGCAAGCCTGGCAGAGCTGCAGCATGGAGCCCTGTGCTGAGCGACATCACGGGTCCCGTGCAAGCCTGGCAGAGCTGCGGCATGGGGCCCTGTGCTGAGCGACATCATGGGTCCTGTGCAAGCCTGGCAGAGCTGCAGCATGGGGCCCTGTGCTGCTGGCTGAGCGACATCACGGGTCCCGTGCAAGCCTGGCAGAGCTGCAGCATGGAGCCCTGTGCTGAGCGACATCACGGGTCCCGTGCAAGCCTGGCAGAGCTGCAGCATGGGGCCCTGTGCTGCTGGCTGAGCGACATCACGGGTCCCGTGCAAGCCTGGCAGAGCTGCAGCATGGGGCCCTGTGCTGGCTAGGCAGAAAGGCAGTTTTAAAGTTTTGTGTAGTCAGGCCCAGAGGCAGCAAGAGGTGGTCTTGCCAGATACAGGTAGGGTACAGATCTCCCCGACCTTGACCAAGATGTTAGCAGCTAAGCCTCTTGGGAGTGATAAGAGGCAGAGAATACCCCGGGCTATAAGAAAGCAAAATGTGAGACGGCTGCGTCGGGGTGCAGGAGAAGATGGCAGTCTCCACAGGAGGTAAAGTTCCTCGTAATTTTTGCTTGTTGGAAGAACTTGAGGAAGGACAAAAAGGAGTAGGCGATGGTACGGTTAGCTGGGGCCTTGAAGATGATGAAGATATGACACTTACAAGGGTGGACAGGCATGATTACTGGGCCACCAAGGACAAATTATGAAAACAGAATATATAGCCTGAAGGTAGAATGTGGACCTAAATACC